CTTCTGAACATTTTTAATAATCTTAGACAAACAAACACATCCTTTCTACAAGATTACCCAGCATCCMTTGCTGAGAAAATTCTTGTCTGTGAGGAAGAGGGCGGGGCTTTTCAGAATACTTCTTTCAACACTTCATTGTTATATAACGACACTGTTTAAGTGTTAATCAAGACTTAACAGTGGGTGGAGCTTATTTAACACTGGACAGTGTTGTCTCAACACTGGACAGTGTTGTCTCAACACTGATGAAATCATCTCTGTGAATTAACACCAACACTGGATGTCAGTTTACACAGAAAGTGTTAAAATAACACTTGCGGAGCTGAAATTAACTCTGAAAAGTTCAACACTGAAAGTTTAACACTGAAAGTTTAACACTGAAAATGCAACACTCAGTTTTTACTGTGGACTGGGTCCTGGTTCGGCTCAGAAAGCTGAAGGTCCAACATGAGGGTGGAGAGAGACCATCTGCCACAGAGCTGCAGGGGCACGAGTCCAGTCTGAACACACACACACACACACACACACACACACACACACACACACACACACACCTGGATGTGATGCAGGAGGTCCTCTGGGTCTGATCCGGTTCTAGAAGATGTTTTTTGAAATCTGCCTTTTTTATGTTTGCAGTTTTTCTTCATTCAGTTTTTTTTTTTTCAGAAGGGACTTCCTGTGCATGAATGCATTCAGACATGGCTCCAAACCAGAGCCTGCAGCTCTGGGAGCACTGGGAGCAGCACTGGGAGCAGCACTGGGAGCAGCAGAGCCCCTTTGTCCGAGAATGGATCAACACCATCTAATTGGGTTTCTCCATCTGTGGCTGTACAAACAGCTGCCTCTCGGGGGTCTCAGTGAAGGAAGCAGCTCAGGGGGGCTCCTCACGACCCAGAAAAAAAAAACTCTCATTGAATGTCCGCCGATTTGTTTCCACATCACGAGCTGAGAGCTGGAAACTGGACCGGGATGGACCCACAGACTCAGTTCAACACGTTGACATCWTTAGGTTTGAGCTCTAATAATTAATTAATTAAACAGCTCGTTTATCAGGTCAAACCTGTGCGGCCTGATGAGCCTAACAGATGAGAWAAGACCCCAGGGAGAGGGGCTTCCGGTCTGGAAAACCCGGCCGGCTTACCTTCAGCGGGCAGCAGCGGATCCTCAGTCCGAGCGCAGCGCGAGGCAGGCCGGCCACGCTGCCGCCGCCGCTCCCTCTCCTCCGGAGGGACTGGAGGCTTTCTGCTCCTCGGATCGGGCTTCTGCTCCCGGTCCTCTGAGGAAAAACCGAAGCCGGGTTCCTCCGCTGGTGGACGAGGCTGTGAGAGGATCCAGTAATGGCTGTCCTCCTCCTCCTCCTCCTCATGCAGCTCTCCTCTCCTCCCCCACCTCCTCCTCTCCTGGTCCACCCTCTCTCCGGCTCTTCAGCGGGCTGTCCTCCTCAGTTGGACCCGGACTCGGGTTTTGGGGGGGGGCTTTCAGGGTCAGGTCTGCAGCACATATGTGCAGCCTCACGCAGGAACACTTTCCTTTTGCATCACATGATTTTTAATGTGAAACTGTCTGCAGCTGGAGGAGGACTGGAGGAGGACTGGGTGGAGGAGGACTGGGTGGAGCTGCAACACCAGCTGATTTCAGCTGGAGGAGGAAAAGTTTGTGTTTGTGGAGCCGCTCCCATGAACTCAGGCCTGGTTCACAGGCCAGAGGCTGACAAAGTCTGCAAGAGGAGCAGACATCTTTACATCTGGAAAAACTAGCTCCAGGACATCAATAAACAGTGGTGGGCAGCACTAGTTACACTAACCCTAAAGCACTAACTCAAATATTTAGGTCCCCTAACACAAATGCACTGAAAAAATTAGCAAAAGCTAATTCTAAAGCACTAATGCACTGAAAATTTTAGATAAAAACTAATTCTAAAGCACTAATATAACCCAGTTGACACATGAGACAATATTTACTTTGTGCAGAATGTTGTCACTTAGTGCCCTTGCCAAATAGGAGTCACCCGCAGGCCACATTTGGCCCACAGGCCTTGAGTTTGACACGTGGCCTTGTAGATAAGCGCTGTCCAAACATTTTGTCACATGGGCCAAAATCATAAAGTCAGAATGACTTGAAGCCAAAACTATTTTTTCCTTTACCTGCTCAACAATAAACTGAACATTGAATACTTTAATTAAACAAATAAAGGAGTCAGATTTATTGCTGGAAATGGACGCACGAGTTAATCTAGATACAGAACTTTAAAAGTGTTTTGCAGGTTTCCCTTATTGAAATAATTTTTGCAATTTTCTAGGCTTCAATTGGGGGGAAAATAACCCAATTTAATCAATTCTGATCAATACAGTTTCAACTGTGGAATGATCCACTACATGTCAGACAGTCTCCTTCACTCGCTGTCTTTGCCTTTGAGTCTGAGTGAGATGGTGCGAAACCTCACTGTGTTTCATAACTCTGTTCTATGTACTGTAAATATAGATGCTCCATGTTTTTATCTGTATTTTGACTATGTCCTGTTGTGACAGCACTTTGGTTGGCCTTGTGCTGTTTAAAGTGCTTCATGAATAAAAGTGGTACAGTAATAAAATCAGGATTTAGGTCACTCTTTCGTTAAAAATGCTTGCTGTACTCAGAAGAATTTAATAAATGAATTAAAAGCAGATTGGAGTGCAGGAATTAGACGCAGTATTGTATTTTTTTACTTTCTGATCATTGCAGCTTTAAGGCCTTAACAGAATAAGAATTGGTGTTTTATCATTTGTTCTTCCTTTAGTCTAAACAACATGAGTGACGTTCTGACGTAAAAGGTAACATCTCCTGGGATGTAACCAGGAAGAGATGAACGTTACAAGCTCAATTCATTATTATAGTAAAGAGAAGTTGTCAGTGTTTTGCAGAGTGTCTGCTCAGAGCAGAGCTCTTGTCTGTTCGTTTTGATTCGATTGATTGTTACGGCCAGAGGTCTTTCTTCTATGTTTATACTAAAGCATGGAATGACATTCCTCAAAACATAAAGTCCATTTCAAAACTACAGCCCTTTAAGAAGAATCTTGTCTGCCATCTGCTGGACACTTTTTGTTGTGCTCATATTTAGACGTCCTATTTTGCAAATGCTGCCTTYYTGAAATTTGGTATGCTTGTTTGTCTTTGTGTCTGTGGATGGTGTATAATGATGTGATTGTGATGCTGTAATTCTGAGTGTTTTATGTGCTGCAGAACAGGAACCTGCTGTAAAACAGCAATTATGCTGAGTCAGGCTTGATTTTCAATAATCTTTTCCTGTTAAATAAATAAATCAAATAAAATCAATTCCACCCAAGGTCTGAGGCCTGTGTGCTGTACTGTGAACCTGATTGGAGTCGGAAGTTTGAAAATAAAGTTTTACGAAGAAATCCAGCTGATTCCTGTTTATTCAGACAGACCATTTTGAAAAACACATCTTTCCTACACCCTAATCAAGAAATTAGCCTCCCTATTAGTGCTGTAGGGGAACTGCCCACCACTGCCAATAAATAAAATCAATATTAACAATTAAGTCTTTAAAGAATAGAAATAAAAAAAAATAGTGCCGAGGACTGATCCCTGTGGCACTCCACAAKTCAGATCAAGAATCTGAAGAGAATAATGCCAAAACAAGATGAAGATATCCTACAAAATAAAACAGGAAGTAGCTGTGTAGCACAAAGAAACCCAACAACAAAACCTGACAGATTTCCAGTAAAATGTTCAGAAATATGAGAATTACAAAAGTCAGGTCCTGCCCAGGATCAAATATTCACTGTACGGTCCTTCTAAAAGATTTTACTAATCTTTAAACATCTTTAAAGACCAAAAACATCAAAGTTTACTCAGAAGCTGCTGATTCTAATCAGCAAATTAAACTGAAACCAGTCTGAGTATCCTGATCTAATTCATTTCACAGAGGGATCTGTGGTTTTTAAATTTAAATCAGTTATTTTTTTCACAGTCAGGGAACCRTTTATATGAATTTAACACGTGACAGGACTGTGGTTGGGACTACAGTTCATCAATATTCAGAGGTCTTGACCCATTTATTTAAGCTGAACTCCTGAGGAGAAATGAATGTCTGGGATGGTGGCTCCATCTGGTGGCCCCTCATAAAGCCTGGCAGACWCATAAACCTGCCTGAGAAGCTGTTATTGATTGAATATCAATATTTATTTTACATCCATTTGTAATCAAAGCTGATGAACTGACCCTCGGGAGACTTTAATCCTGTAATCCTCTGACCTCAGAGGGTTAATAAAACCCAGACTCAAGAAGGAATCACCTTTATCAGATCAAATTAATGTTTGTCACTCGTTTCTACTGCTGATCAGAACAAAGAGCAGATTTAACAGAAAAGACAACGAGATCGGTGGATGACAACATTTATTTGTAAATTTGTACAGCTGAAGAGAAAAAGTGAAATCTGATTGATGACAGCGGAGGTGCAGCGTGAGCAGCTCCTTCAGGGCGTGTCGTCAACCATCCCTGAGTGGTGCGGCGGCGGCGTGTACGTTCCCTCCTTTATCATCTTGTCACGCTGCTTACGGATGGCTTGTATCCTCTGGAGCTGCACAGACGAAGACGTTTGAAACCACAAGCAGCCGTGAAGGGGTTTTAGTTCAAACCTTCAGTTTTTGTGTGAAAAATCAAACATCAGACCAAACAGCCTATAAGCCACGGTCATTATGACGCATTTCCGGTAAAATTCTGGCCCCACTCCTTCCTTCCACTTCCTGCTTACTACCATTGTTTTTAGTGTTAGCTAGTACTAGTCCGTGAAAAAGTCACAAAAGTTGAAGCATCTGTGATCTACTGGTATAAAACATGAGTTCAGTTGTGTGTCGTTGT